TATGATAACTTGAGACGAGAGGGGTATTGGATTTCTTGGAACTTTGGACCAGCAAGCTAGCAGTTTTCCCCTCTTTGTGTTTTCTATGCTAAGCTAAGCTAGCTGACTATTGACTGTAACTCTGAATTCAATGGTATCCATTTTCTCACCTAAATCATTGCAAAACATCAGACAAGCATCTGTCCCAATATGTCCCAAAAACTATTCCTTTTTAAGTATGTCTAAATAGTGGATGATCATAAAACCATTAAGGGTTTAGAAGATATGGCCTTGATTTTTGTGTCTTTTGGAGACAAAAGGTACAATCCCTGGCTTATTGGTGCTAATCATTCACTTGTACATCAAACAGTAACAGACATTTTGTATCTGTCTGGACCCAAGGTGGAGGGGAGAGTCAACACACACTTGCCAAATGGGACAACATACTTATCAATATAAGCATTGTCTTGATAGACAATCAGTGACAAAAAATCATTTGAACAGGATTATATGTCCATCCACATTTTGCCAGTGACTACTTAAGCATTCGTACAGCTTGTTATCATACAGTATGAGAATCTAAAAAACACGCTTAGTTTTATTAGTGATAGCCTGTTCTGCGGTAATCAGCTTTATCACTGACAGCAGAGGAGAAGCCATTGGGGCTTTTAACTTGGACAGCCAATCTCCTTACTCCCCTCACTGTTTTTATAGCGCTGCTTAGTTGGGTTTATGGCGATTGTTGTTGAACATTAACCTGTTAAGCCCCAAAGACCCCGTCGGCGGGTCCTTTTTTTTTCACAAATTAAAAAAAAAAAAATGTTATTCTTTGGATGGAATGAATACATATGGTGATAATTCAATGTAATACACCATTTGCATAGTCTGGTACCTGAAAAAGGTCAAATGGCACTGATGGAACCAGATGTACCCAAATGTGCCGAAAGCTTATTCCGCCTGGAACTTGTTTTTGCTAAACCTCTCTAAAAAGGTCAAATTTCACTTGTTTTGCCTCAATCTTGATACAGGGTACTTATTATATGTTATAGGTTGGATTCCTAAAGCTTTTAGTCTACCATCCCATCATTCAAGGGTGGTTTTCACTATAAGTAATGTTTTTTCTTTAGGCGGAGGTAAGAATTTACCTTTTTTTGCTATGTTCCATCTGAATTTACTCTGACTGAGAAAAATCTATATTGATTCTGACACTTCTACATCCAACTCACAGATGTAACCTTGCTTTGATAAAATAAATTATTCATATAACTCTTTTAGAAGTTAAGTTGTAGTCATTTGTTTTGGGCATGTCATTTTCGAGCCTGAAACCTGAAAAACAGGCTCGGGCTTAAAGAATTGGGAAATCGAGGATTCGAGTGGTATGCGGAAAAGAGACAAATATGTTGTCACAACCCTGGAGAACTATGGTCGTTGCTTATCATAATTGTGAAAAGATAGTATCTCTAATCACAATTTCTAGGATGTTGTTTCTGAACACGGGTGAAAATCGGCAAAAAAGGACAGAAGGTTTCTTTATGGCTAAATAACGTAAAATCCTCTTTTACGGGAATGTTTTCTTGTTAAAGTCAAAACAATGGACATTCAATATGTTATTTTGATATGTTCATGAAATGTGGGATTTAGCAAAGCTTAAACTGTTTCTGGAGTATGCCACAGTCCCTGTCACATGTAGAAAGTTAGGATCAAGAAATCCTCATCCGCAGTCAGATTGTAGCAAACTCTGTTTGTTTGCAAGCCATCTGTGTTGATTACAACTGACAAAATGGCTTTTGCTGTTACAATACTAAGACACTTTTCGGATTTAACACAAACTACTGCTGTCATTCCTCGTTACAAGGCCTCTTTTTGAGCTAAAACAGAGATTCTTGAGCCCGGCCCACTGACTCAATCTCTGTTGCTCAATCAGCAAAGTGACCCCTGCATGTGCTGATAGCACAGCTCATAGAGCAGCTCTATCAGAAAACACACAGTGTGATTTACTCAGGCATGGAGTTCACCCCTGGTTTCTATGGCTGTACAGTAAACGGGTTAATTATTACATCAGGCTGCCTCCAGATTAAACTCACTGACAAAGCCACTGAAACTAAGAGATCCATGCTTCTGTGACATTTCTTACTGATAACACGCTTTGTCATATATAATTCTGGATATACTTCAGTTTATTATTATTTACTTATTTATTGTTTCTACAACTGTTGTTCTAGTATTTGCCTCTAATTACTGACTCCAAAAAGTGTAATTCAGTCTACTTAAATGCGCTCTAGGCTTCAACCATGTGTAGACTGGCTTTAAAATAGGGTTTCTATTTTTAATCTTTTAAATGTGTTTTATATATTGTGAATGGGGGAAATAGAGTGATTTATTGTGACTAGTGTCTCGCTTTCTAACATCATTATAGTTTGAACCTGTTTTAAATGTTTCTGCGTCACATTTTCACATTTCTTAAGCTCAAATGAGCTGCAAATCATATTTCTTGATTGTTAAAACGTACCTGGAAAATTAAACTTATTAAACAGATTTGATTGTGAAATGCCTTAAACATAATCAGTAATTGCTTCAGATTATTTAACATGAGACTTATCATATAATGATCTCATAGGCTAATGTCATGTTTATGGCTCAGAAGCGGCAAAAAGTGGTCGATTTTGCACCTTTTGGATTAAATGCAGTAACCTATTGATATGCAATCTACATGCCAGATATTGCAACACAATAATCCATGTTCTGTCTACAAAATGCACAGCATGTACATCGGCTGATACGTGTACCGAAGGGTAATTTAAGTTCATACCCTGCAATACGACAGATCATTCATGATGCCTTATTGTAGGGCACGATAAGAATTTATTGATGCAGGGTGTAAATTCACAACCTACCCAGCAGCATATAAAGTAATTCAATTAGCTCCACCTTCTGCAGCTTATCATTGATGTAGCCAAATTAGACATTAATCAGCTATAATTAAAATACTATAATATCATTTAAAAATAGTCTATACTGCAATAAGTGTATATTTGACGCTTATATTTTTATCTTTTACTTTACTGGTAATACACTATTTATAAACTGGGGTATTGCTCTTTTTTACCTAAAAGATCTGTGTACTTCCTTGCACCACTGTGTTTAAAACTAACAGCAAAGAGTTTTTCTTGCGGTTAATAAAAAGCAAAATGTCCTGCACAGTGAAGAATACAAGGTCAAGGTGAGATGGCTTCAAGGATCCTTTTGGTAAATCATATTGCTGAGTCCATCACTAAAGATAGTAAAAAACAATCTTTAATGCAGCAACTTCGTTTTATTCCTCATGCTGAGCAGTGTATCAGATACTGCCTGGCTGGCTCTCTGCCCACCTGTTGGCCTGAAAGGAGTCTTACCTTGACGAACAGAGAGATGTCCGGCTGGCTGGGTTCCTCCGGGGCTGCGCTGCTGTCGTCCAGACTGACACTCTCCAGAGTTTGCACGCTTAAGTCTACAGACGGCTCCGGGGTGCTGTCGGGACTGGGGGGAGAGTCCGATCTACCATTCTCCGCGGTCTCCTCGTCCTCCACCCGCGGCTGGATCGGCGGGTCGTCGCACGGGTCCCCGGGGGAGGCAGAGGATGCTGAGGAGGCCGAAGAGCGCCTGGATCCGCCGTTCACTTCCTCTACCTGCACCGTGACTTCTGGCTCCGGCATTGGACACACAACTGGCTCAGCCGGGTCGCACACCTCTTGCTCCGGCATTGGACACACAACTTGCTCCGGCATTGGACACACAACTGGCTCCGGCATTACACACACAACTGGCTCAGGCATTACGCACACAACTGGCTCAGGCAGGTCGCAAACTTCTTGCTCCGGCATTGGACACACTGGCTCGGGCATTACGCACACCTCTGGCCCTTCCTCAGCTTTAACTTCTTCTTTAACCTCGTCCTTTGCTTTCGCCTCTTCTTCATCATCGCTGGATGAAGAGGACGAGCTGCTGTGTTTGTCCTCGTCTCTGACGGCCATGTAGTCCGGGGAGCTGCGCCCCTCTCCCTTCGTGGAGACGTGGACCTGCACCTCGCTGTACAGCGGCTCCGTGGCCTCTGCGGGGCTCTCATATTTGGGCTCTCGGTCGGGGCTGTTTGCTCCATCGCGGGGCTGTTTCTGGACACGTCCCTCATCTATTGTTTCGTAGATGTTGTCCATGTTTGCTGGATTAGTGTTGGCACACCTGCTGTAGCGTGGAGGAGTGCTGAAGTGGTCTAACTGGTGGCACACAGTGTGCCTGCCTCTGAGCGTCTGGGCAAATTCCAGCGATAACTCATAGCAGACCTTTGATCCTGGAAGTTAACAAGTGATTTATGCAAAACCTGAGGCCTCTGTGCTTTCAAGGACATATTAGGGAAATACCCTTTTAAATGCAATACTTTTTTAATGCAGTATAATTCTTGTCTTTTAATTTTTCCAACTTTTTAATTGTTGGAGTATATTATTATTTTCCAATTTAGAATTTTCCAGTTTTTTTAACACAAGTTTCTCTGCAATCCATCAAATATTTTTCAGGACTAGTTTCCTTGAAACAACAGATGAGCTTAGTTTACTGTCACAACATAATTCTTTAGGCAAGGAAGGGGGCGTTTTTTTCATGAGGCTTTTTTTTTTTATATGTGCATATTTTTTCTTTTAAATAACTCAGTGAATATATAAAAAAATACAATTAATAAGAAGCTCTTAAAGTAACTGCAGAATAAATTCAGAAGGATGTTGTTCATTAACGAACTCGGCAATGTATTAACATCTCCCAAGTACATATTATAATTCTATTCTCTTTTTCATGCTTACTTGCAAACTGTATTTAAAACCAAACCAAATCATTATCTGCTAGATAACAGATTTTGACAGCCTTGATGTTTGTCATCTTTCTTATCAGCATCCATGTGAGGAAAGTGAAACCATTAATGGTCTGGACTAAGAAAAGGGTTAAAGGCATCGCACTTTAACTGTACACTGACAAAGAATACAAAAAAAAGAAATGGCTCAGATTCACATAAGTTCTTTTTAATTTCAGAAGACTGTCATTGCATCAACATGGCAATTTGTAAATCATATTAAATATTTATAATTTACTAACGATTTCAAATGACCTATTCAATTATATTCTGGATATATTTCATTTCTCCATCAACAAGTCAGGCGGAAATTAGCAGACAACCTAGACAATTATCATAAAATTAACAAATTCCATATAAATCCTTTCAATTTATGAATTTTAATTTAGTAAAAGGTATATATCACAGTGATGTCTGTAAATGTTTGGGCACAATTATTGTTTCTTAAAAGATGCTGAAAAAATATTAGAACTTTAGAATATATTTGCAGATTTGGACTCTACTTATAATTGTGCTAATTATAAAAGCTTTTTGGCAAGAGGCACCTCACTTAGTCATTTTAAATAGCAATTGCGAACAAGAAGTGCAAATTATACATGACTTAGAAAGCGTCAAACACTGTCCCTTCATACTTTTTCATTTCTTTCCTGTATAGTGCAAATCGGGGGAACAGTTCCTGCAAGTCATGCCCAAATAGTCTTCTCAACCTAGCAACAACAAAACCCTTAAAAATCCCAATGAAGAAATACTGACCTATAGCAATTGCACTTCACATTTCACCAACAAATGGCCATGGTTATGACATATGAACAGGAGGGAAGTACACAGTCATCTACACAGAAAAATGCCCTCCAAACACAAACTATACGCAAAAATAACCCCAGACTCACACAAAAGACTATTGCACACACAGCGCGGACAGATGTTCACAGTTAAGTTAAAAGGCAAAAGTCAACGGACTACTAAAGAGCAAGTTTGTGAAGTGATCGGCTCATGGGATGTCCTACACTTACGATCAGTAGCCTGGCACATGGAGTGGGTCTCTAGTGGAACATCTGATTCCAAGTAACATTAAAAAAAGAACACTGATCCCAGCCAATCCACTGAAAGTAACTTCTCATTCAGTGCTTAGACCCTTAGTTGAACAATTGGTGGCATAAATCGCATCCGTTTCGCATGGATTTGAAAATGCTGAATAAACCCAATCCCAATCTACTGCTGTCCCTACTATGTTACTATCGGGCAGTAAAGGTGTCAGTATGCTTCAAACAAAGTACATTTGGATCAGTGGTATAGGATACCTAAAAAATGAGAAAATCATCCCTTTTAACCCTGCCTTTGTTAAGGAAGTTATGTTTTAACACTGCCCATGAGTTTGAATAACGAGGTGGATACACTCACTATTTTGTACCTATTTACTTGAGGAGTTTGGCACTCTCTGATTGCCTTCTAGTTACTTGGGTTTCCAGTGCAACAATAGGAATGCCATCGAGTAAAGATTGTCTCTGAGTCTGGGCAGGTAGGCTTCTTGCCTGGAAAGCTTTTTATCCCTGCTTTCCACTGTGGCCGCTCAGCTATAATCACTTTTACCTTCAGACAAGGTTTTAACATACTGACACCTTAACATTATCCAAGCCACACTTTTGGCCAACAACGTTCTTACTCGCCAGAATCACAGGCTACAATTTCTCTCTAGCTTTGAATCTTTACTTATTAAATGACAATGAAAATGACAAGATGATATAAGGTAAAAATTCACAATCAAAGCAAAGCCACTAGAAAGCCCATGTAAAGGTTTATTATCTTGATTAAGCCTGCACCAGAAGCACACCCCAGACATTCCCCTTACACTCAAACGAGGGAGATGTACCTCTAAACATGATTAGATTATATTCCCTTAATCTCCGACTAATAAAAAGAGCAGCACATTGGCATTTAGTCATATAAGGGAGGCGTTAAGGGATGCTTCTGGAGAGAGCGGACTACCTTTGGGGAGCTACACCTCCTCTTCTTTTACACCTGCCATCTTTTCTCTTCCTCCCGCTACAGGTGCAAGTCTTCTTGCAGTAAAGGCTGGGACATCTCCCGGCTTCTGTGTTTTAGAGAGGGCAGCTGTTTGAGGGTCACTTGTCTGATGTAGAAAAACAGAAAGCCCAGCACCATTGCCACACCGAGGAAAGAACCCACGACAGGGGCGTAGGAGTGCTCGTGGACCCTGGGAGAGGGGCTGGGCGTGGTTGCCATTGGCTCTGGGTACAGCAGGTCCTGCACGTTTAAGAGGGATCCGTTGTTTGGTAGAGGGGGGGTGGACAGGATGTGGCACATGAGAGGGTAGAGGTCAACAGATCGCATGAAGGGCTTGATGTAATTCTGGCGAAAGGCCGGTCCACGGGCCACGAACACAGGCTGCATGCTATGTAGGGTGTTGTCAAAACCGTGATTTCCAACTGGTGATAGAAACATAAGAAATATATTATTGCAGAAAGAGGCACCATGCTTTGATGTTCATTATTTGTGCATCTGTAGAGCTCCAGTTTCCACATCCCACGATTTACAGGCAGAGAGATTTATGGAATCTGGCACTGCTCCTCTCTCAGATGATTTACCACCATCACTGCTTCCCCAGCTGAACGGTTACTGCTGAATCAAGTCACCGCGAGCACAAGCCAAATTGAAAATTAAATCCAAACACACAAGCACACAGACCTTTGATGCAAGCTTAGACTGGCTAACTACTCCTCCCCTAAATGTATCAGGGCAATTACCTTCCTCAGCAAAAGACAGGATTCCCTTAGTGTGCGGATTCAGTTTAATGCACCCCCCCCCCCCCAATACTAAGGCAATGTTTACAGCAAAAACGCTGTCTTGCCAACATTCTCACACTTTACTATAATGCAACACCTAATAAAGAATCCATTAATACACCGGATGTTAAACGCATACTTGAATTCATAGTCATTAATTGACGTAATTAATTGAAGTTAATGGCTGAGAAATTGTATATTCACAGGGCAGAACTGTAATATTATAGTACAGTAAACAGGAAGTGCACATCCAGTCCACATACACCAATAATGATCATTAATAAGCATATTTGGCTAAGTTGTCTCACACCATGTTGTCAGTGAGGAGTCAGCAGGTTTTATTTCCAGCCACTGACTCCACCGGGTCATTTTACTGATTAACAAGCCTTTAACAGTAGAGGAGGGAAATTAGCTTGTGTAGTCTGCAGCTACAATGAAAAAAGACCTACATACACAGTTTGAAATCTTCTAAGGGAATATAAATCAGGCTTTCTTTGTTAATTACAGCTGGTATTGCATGAGCTAGCTTTGGTTCAATGCCCCTGTGAAGCTATTATTAGAGCAGACTGAAGCAGCTTTATGAAACAACTGCAAAAACGCCTCTTCCATGTGTACAGCCTCAAGCTGAGTTGTTTCCCTCCTGACACAGCTTTATATGAGTTTTGAATACATACGCATGAAGGGCCCGGTCCTATTCTGCATCACGGTCCAGCCCTCCTTGGCCGCGATAAGGATCGGCATGATCCTGACGTTGTGTTGATAATGGAAGTGCTCGGGAATGTCGTCCTTCTTGTAAACCACCATGTTAGGGTTGACATCCACCAGCTTGTCGTAAATCTCGTCAAGCTTCCCTGAAACCCAGATGACAACATTATGTTTGTAGATTTTTTTTAAATCACACAGCTGTCATACAATGTTTGTAGTTGGACCTCAAAATTGTAATGCACTACAATATTTCTGTAAGCCGCGTTATCTTTAGCCAGAACAGGTGACATAGTCTGTCACCTAGCTGTAGCTTAATTTTGTATCGTAAAAACATATATATTTTTTCTCATCAAACAAAAATGTAATTCTTAAAATTTTTACAGTGGTATATGTGACAGATGTTTAAAGGATTACCTTCTTTGGGAAGCAATGCCACCACCGGACTCTTGTCCACCCAGGTGTACAGGTCTCTGCTCACATACTCATCCAGTTCTATGATCTTATCAGAGGAGAGCTGCGCCATGCCGTGGTCGCTGGTCACGATCAGGTTCACTTTCTCATACAGCCCGGCCTTCTTTAGCTCGTTCATGAGGAAGCCGAGCTTCTCGTCGATTCCGGCGATGACTACATCCATGAGGGGACTCTCGGGTCCGAGTTTGTGCCCGCTCTCATCCGGCTCCTCCCAGTACAGAACTCCAAAATCCACTGCTGCCTCTTTGGGTGCAGAGAACCACTCGATAAGCCGCTCCACTCTGGTTTCAAAGGACACTGAGGCATTGTACAAGAGGTACCGATTGGGGAACATGCCGTGGATCTTGACGTCAGACCCCGGCCACATCGCCGCCCCGCTTCGACCTCCAGCTTTCTGGATGCTGACCCATAGTGGCACCGCTGCTTCCCACCACCGCGACTCATAAACACTGTCCGTCTCCATGGAGAAGGAGCGGTTGAGAACAGGATCGTACATCTCGTTGGCCACAATGCCATGCGTCTCAGCGTACAGCCCTGTCACCAAGCTGTAGTGGTTGGGATAGGTCTTGGTGATGTAAACGTTCTCCACGTGCTCCACCATCACGCCGTTATCAATGATGTTGTGGAAGTTAAGCGTCGGGACTCGGTTGATGTAATCCCATCGGAAGCCGTCAAAGGACACAAGCAGCAACTTGGGCCGCTCCTTGGCACTGTGGCTCCTGCGCCCATGTTGGTTCACGCTATGGAGGGAGACCAGAGGCAGCAGCAGGGCCCACAGGCAGAGGAGAGGACTGCAGCCTCCTCGCAGCAAGCAGCTCAGCATAGTCAGGTTTGTGAAGAGACAACTTACAAACATAGAAAATGGAAGAACTCAGTGCCCTAGGTCCCTTAGTTACATTTAAGAGAAATCATAAAGCTACAGCACAGAAAGATATTAAAGACAATGTCTGTTTTTATCTGACCAAAAGATACAAACATATTTACCATCATGCATGACAAAGAAAAACCCTAAACTTAATGGAAGGGTGCATAATGGGTCAGAGAACAACATGTTATAGCAGATCCGAATCACAGGGCAGATACAAACGTTGTATCTATTTATTAATGGACGCAGCCTTGTTGTTCTGTGCTCTCGGAGTGTCCTTCTCGTCCATTTTTTTACAGTTCATTCGGCTCTACTTTAAACTCTGGTGAAAATTTGGGGAAGCCTCTGTCCTGCGTGACAGGCCTACAAACATCAATGGCCGACTGAAAGCACTTCCTCAATATAATGGCCATATTTGTCCTTAGATGACAAACAATTTTAAATTGGTGTAGGCGCAGACCTAGTTTGTTCAGATGCAATATCATTTTTGTTTAATGACCTACATTTTAACATTTGAGGCTTTTTATCAATAATGTGAACATTATTGGCGATTAGGGTTGAGGCAAATAATCGATTAGTCGATCAACAAACATGCAACAACTACTGTCATTTAACCATTAAAATGGCTGATTCCAGCGTCTCTCAAATCAGCTTGTTTTTCTTGTTTCTTTTGTTTTATTACATAGACATTAATTATGAATACCAATGTCATTTGAACGATTGGTTGTAATTTAAAGATGTCACTGGCAACCTGTGGGATGTATAGATTGAAATACTAGATGTTTCTCAGAACATTTATAGATTAAGGATTTAAGGAAAATAAAGTGTCAGCCCTAGTGTAAGAAAAAAGAATTACTTCTTACGCAAGAGCTGCAATTGTGTTTACCAAGAGCTGTGTATGTTGACAAGGAAGGCTAAATGGCCAAAATTATTGACTCCTGAATGTTACACCAATTTGTGATTATTGGACATATAATAACTATGACCATTATTATGGAAGTGAAGTGTATCAGTGTCTTACAACTTTAAAGCTCGATCACGATATTCAATAACATATTGCTAATGTTTTTTTGTGAGTTAAACAGCAACACTAAACAAAAGGGTAATACTGGTGAAAAGCAGGAAAGCAATGATGTCATATGGCAGGCTGAGAATACAATGACTGTAATGCATCTTTAAGTGCTACTTAAATGACAGCCATTGTGCTGATAGGCAACCACATTAATGTGGAAATAATAAGCTCCGTGTTGTAGCATTAGAGCCGCAGAGCTAACAGCTCCAACACGCAGCACTGAATGCAACAATAAGACAACTACACAAAGCAGCAATAATTTGCATGAGCGCGGATCAGGGCAGATTAATGCACACATTCATAACGCCACAGATTGTGATGTCAACAAGCTTACCTTGTTATCTGATCCTGCACTGGCTGGCCTTGCGCTGCACACCGAGATAAACAGCCGGAAGTAAGTCCCGCCTATTAACCTGCCGAGTGTTTTTTGTGTCGCTTTTATTTACAGATATTAGACCAAACTAGATGATGAGAATACAAAAGGCTCTGCGGTGTTTCCTGCAAGTGCATGCTTTGTATCATGCAGAGCTGCATCCCCCAAATTCACTGCGAACGCACCGGTCCCGATGACGTAATGTAGGAGGAAGGTGGGAGGAGGCAAGGGGAGATAGATAGATGGAGGGAGGGAGGGGGAATGTTATTATAAATAGACATATTTTGGTGTCATCCAGGTTATAAGTATTTTGCTCTTACATTTTGCCCCTCCGCCCCCCTCATCCACCCTCCTTTTTATTAGAGGGTTGGGGGGCAGGGGATGTGTGTACAAACGTATGAGATAAACTGAAAGCATTAATGTGTGCTCCTTATTGCATGTCAAGTTGTTAATCATTAATCTGTAATATAAATTAATACATTGGGTAAATGTACAAGGGCTTAACACATTATGATGGAAGTATATAATGGCCCTCTGCAGGCTCTATTATGTCTCATATAGGTCATTTCGCATGAATATAATTTGTTACAGATGGGGTGCTAAATGCAACCATTGTTTGTCTACTTCACTAGCAGATTTGATAACAGAACAAATTTAAATTGCAAAAAATCCCATAAAACACCAAGACCATGAGGAACATTATAGAATACATTTGTGATTGGATCTGGTATCAAAGACCTTTGACATTTTGAGATGTCTGTATAATTGCAGTTTTCTGTGATTGTATTGTTGCAGCAATTCTTCTGTCATAAAATACCAGTATGAAACATTTAATTAATGTGCTGAAATGTGACAATGTGTTTAGAGGGAGTAAAGGCAGTAGCAATTTGCTCCAAAAAATACTCCTGACTAAAAATAGTTACCATCAAAGACATTGTTGCTCTAATTCTGTCAGGCGATGATAATGCTGGCACATGGGCTGCAATAATAATGACAAACACTGTCCACAAGGTGTCAGACAAGTCCTGTCTGAAGTATTCAGGTCTGGCTTTCTTCACATTCTGTTAAAAGAAAGATGGCATCTAAATCATGACGTTGCAAGTCAGAGTGAGACACCAACTGACAAGGTCCACCATGTCTGTACAGAAAGAGATACTCTGATTAAGCATTATACGTTCTTCATTTTCTATTAATTGCATTATAATGGATGTTCTAACGCAAGCATTTTGATTATAATTATTATGCTTGAATGCTCTAACAGCTTTTAAATGGACCTAGATATGCAATGTTTTGTCTATTGCTGCTTAAAAACTAACTTTAAAGCTCTAAAGACATTTTGTTAATCAGAGGTTAAAAGTGGTAAATAGACTAAAACAGAACGACATTAGGTTTTTATTTTTACAAATCTTCTCATCTCCACCATTACATCTTAGTTCTTATTTCTTTCTAATTTGTGTTGTTTATTTCTCATTAATTATGGCATTCTATCCCTGATTTTATGTCTAGTTTTCCTTATTATATATATTAATCTTATTAATATTATAGCATACATAGGGATATATTAATAATTAAAGTAAAAATCGGAATGAGTCAGTGAGAAAACATAACAAATGCAGTTGCATGGAGTCACTGAATGGCTTGATAAGCATAGAGATGATGTGGCCTCCAGGCACCAAAACATAACCCATATCTAATGGTCTGAAACAAGGCTATTATTAGCCTATGTCAAAATGATAACAATCTTAATAACAAATATCTAAAACCCTCACATTCGACCCCTTGGGACCTTTTTAAGACTAGAGGATTGGGATCAAATTCTCTATTTTGTCTTTTAACACCAATCAATACTGCCTAAATTCCAGTCACTTAATAGAACATTTTAGATAGCTAAACAATATGGCATTGCTGTAGTTTAATTGACTAATAATACATTTAAATAAAGTTGAATCATTATTTAAAAGAAATAAAAAATGCATTTCATCAAAAAAATGTTTTACCCACTTACTGCCCCAGAAAAAAGATCTGAGATATCACTGAAAATACATTTTCACCAAAAGCTGTTTTTGGCATTTGGCCAATAAAAAGTGAAATGTGTAATATTACTTTAATATGATAACAAACGTGTATAATTGTTGTAAAAATGTAGGATAGTTGAACTAAATAAAATTGAACAATGCTCCTCTCATGCACACATGTAAATATTTATTTTGTATAGCTAAGCAAACAACTTAGCTTTAAGTCAGTATGGCTACACAATAGGATGTCATAACAACCACGGGATGGATTGGAAGAGACAGTAATTTGTGTTTTTCTGACTTTTCGCCTATAGCACCACCTGCAGGTTTATCGTTTTTAATTTTAAGCGATATTCCTCACTACTGAAATGATTGTCACAAGATGTAGACAACTAATTTCCACACAGTATGATTTGAAATTACTCAAGTTATCCCATAGTGTTATTATCAGGTCAAAATGTGTGTCTGGTACGTATGACCAAATACCTGCTAAACGAATGCTTTCCTATTGGTCTCTGCTATGTGTATACATATATATAGTGATAATTAGCAAATGTTAGCATGCTAAAATGCTAAACTAAGATGGTAAACATGGTTTATATTATACATGCTAGTCATCAGCCTGTAGCATTGTTATTGTGAGCCTGTTAGCATGCTGGTCTTAGCATTTAGCTCAAAGCCTCACTGTGCATAATTAGTAGCCTCACAGAGCTGTTGGCATGGTTGTACACCTGTTCAAGTAAATATGTCGGTTCCCAAGGCTTTAAAGAAAAATCTAAAATGTGATACAATACAAAAGGAAAGCATGTTTGGGAAAAAGGCAAATTATGCCTCTTATTACTGAAAAAAGGGTACATGAAAGAACAGAAAAGTAATTCATAAATAAGTAGTACAAGTCAGTTTTACCAAAGAAAAGTCGTCAATATGAATCAAATCTTAACATTTTGGAGGTTATTTATTTTGAGTTTTGATTCATTTTGTGCCTTTCTTTTATATATGTATGTGTTTGAAATGTTCCTCATTGTGTTTTCCCTTCCATTTAGCTGACAGTGTGAATCTTTGTGGGGACAGTGGCCACTGCTCCTGTGTGTTCTGGGTTCACTTCTAACATGAAGGGTTTTGTTTGTTTGGGCAGGAAAGCTCTGTCTATTGTGGCATTTGTAGCTGTGGACGTGTGTGTATGTGCGTGTGTCTAGCTTAACTGGAATGTTGAGGTATCTTTTGTTAATTTCTTTGTTGATTTAGTATGTTTTTTGCCATATGTTTAACATGGTGTGCTTAAGGTATCCATTGATTTTAAGTAGAGCTACGAGATTATAACAGTTGTAAAGTTGCCTGAGTTTCCATGCAAATGCACAAACAAATATTATGAATTGATTCAATTCAAATATTCTAGTTACAGTGAGCATTGTTTTTAAACTTTCACTGTAGATTCAAAATAGAAAATGTTGTTGCAGCAGTTATCTATTAATTGACAAGAAGTATCTTGATCTTCTGATTTAGTAGACTGTAAAATACCTTACCGAGGTGGAAAACAATGGCCGGTTTGACATTCAGATAGAGCTGAAACTATTAGTCGATTAATCGATGGCATTTGAATAAGAATGAATCGGAAACTGTTAAGGTATTTAATTGAATCATCAATTGTCTGTAAAAATGACCAAGCATTCTCTTGTTCCAGCTTTGTAAATCGTTCTTGGTCACATATGATAGTACATTGGAACATTAATTGAACAAAATACATCACCATGGGCTCTGAATAATAAGGAAGGCCTTTTTTGGTCATTTTTGACTCATGTTGTGCATCAGAAGGTTTCAAATGTTTTCATCAGGGGGTTAACACAACTCTATTTCCTTTATTAGGGCCATTCTGAATCCTCCCTAATCGTGAAAATATCATTTTACAGTCTCTTAAATCTACTGAGGATTTGTCAGAGAGAGATTTTGTAACCTGTGCTTGAGTTGTGTATGACTACAAGATAAAGAAATGTGCATCTGCAACACACTGCTATAGGGTTAGCATTATGTTAGGGGTTTTGCCCTAAAGTCACAAGCGACAGACAGTAGTGCTGGGAAAGTCACTTTTCCTACCCAGAGAGGTACCTTTAGGACTCAGGGGCCAATCTTAGCTTGGTCAGCTAAGATGACCATGGTCAGCTAAGACCAGAGGGCACCTTCCAAATCATACAGTAATACCCCTTTGCACTTGGGCTGACCAAAGTCCAATTCAAACCTTCTGTATCAGTCTGGTTGTGAGTATCTGTGAGATTTCATTTCATAATCTTCCATTTCTATGAGAATTAATGTGGACTGTCAATGTGGAGTGCCCAAAAGTGTGTGACTACATGGAAGGTCGCGCAGTGAATAGTGTGAACATTTCTCTGTAAGCAGGTACATAATGTATTTTAAACAGATCTGCATGTGTGCCCAGGTTTTAGACTTTATCTGGCCACCAAAGTGGCGCAACGGACTATCGGAATTTGTTCTGTAACATTAGTTAAAAACGTAGTTTGGAAGTGTCCCATTAGGAGTGACACGTATATTTACTGACAATGAAAATGGAGACATTGTAACCGTCCAGCGATTCGGATCCCCTCCAAAATGTAATGGGTTCTTTCTTGGCCCATGTTCCACCCTTCTACCAAGTTTCATGAAAATAAGGTCATTAGTTTATCCATAATCTTGTTGACAAACAGACAAACATAACCTCCTTGGTGGAGTTAGTAACCATCACTTGTTTCCTGGTTGCCTGTTAGAATCTTGGCTTTTCTGTCTATACCTATAAGTGTTGTCCACTGAGTCGTAAAGGAAAGTGTTTGATTTACAATATTTGTTACAATTCATACAATCCATGTAGGCTTATTAGTGGATTGAACATTAACCATGATGCGTTGATAAGCATTAAAAGCAGTGTCTTGTGTCACTCGCTATCAGATGCCCTGGGATAATGTGTCAAAATTGGTATCAAGATAAAAAAAAACAGTATTGTAGTATTTACACATGAGAGTTTGGTTTCAAAGACATAACATATTCCGCTTTTTTTAATAGAATGTTGAAGTGTTGTGAGGGACAAGTGTAATGTGTAGCAAAACACATTGTTAAGACAATAGCTTGGTTTAAGAGCTTTGACTCTTTTATAGTGTTCTTCATTTAAGGTTAATTTTATTCCAAATTTGCTAGATAA